AATAATAATAGTATGGTAAATTGTATCTGTTGGAAAAAAAAATAATTTGATAGTTTATTGCCGCTTAGTCGTTCAAGGTCTCCTGCAGTAATGACTTATGGAAGCGATAGCGAGCTTAGCTTTCGAGACCAGCTTTGAAAAAATTTTATAAAGGCCATTTTTGAATGAAAATATTTTGACTTCGACCACACTGGAAAGGCATATATCAAACAAAAATAAAACTGTATACGAGGTAATAAGGAAGACGGCTTTATAATAATAATAATGAACTACTTATAATTAACAAATACCTTTATTTGTTAATTATAAGTAATACATTAGGGGTGTTAACTATTGCTTATTGTGTCCTATATGATCTACCATTGATAAGTATATAAATTTGTAATTGAACATAAATTGGAAAAAATAATATAATTGAATATATACTTACATGTACGAGGAAGACTAAGATGCAATGCCTCATTACCAGTAAAAAGGGTCTTCGGTTCTTTGTACTCACGGTACGAAATTGATCAGGTCTCGGTCGAGCCGATGCATTCGTACTGCAGCTATGTTTTGTCAGCATAGTTGCAGTGTGGCTCTACGAAGTTATCGCATGATAATCGCTAATATTATTATGTAGTGTATAATTAATTATCTTTTGTATAGTTTTAGTTCTACGTTTTCTACAAAATAATTTGTCATGTCTACATATCCTTGTAACCTAAAATAAATATGTAAATTATATAAAAAGTTCCCTCATGATTGAGCCAGAGAGTTTTTGCTACCGTAGGCACGTATGTGAGTACAATTTTTATCTATTTAAGTCACGTGTGAACGGACGCACGGACGATATGCGTATAATTGCAAACCAGCAGAATTGTGGTGACAGTAATGGAATGCCACAGTATTGTTTTTTTTTTTAAATTTAAAGCTCTCTACATTATTTTATTTTATTACACAAATTAATTTTAACATCTCTGATGTCCACTCCGCCTGTCTTTCTTTCCGTTCGATTATAATCTGAACGTCTTTAAGGTAAGAACAAATAGGCGTTTGTTATACTATGACAGTGAGATTAACCATCTTGTCCTTCATTACCACTTAGCACTGGGTGAGGTTGTAATCGAGCACTGGTTAATAATAAAAATAAAAATAATTAATCATCTTTTGACTTGCCTCGAACCTATTATTTACAACTAAGTTACCTCTTATAAAATGGTTGGTAGTGAAATTTTCACCATGCTGCCCCAATAAACTATTTAGTTTTTGGTGTCCTCACATGTTTACTTCACAGATACGTGACTTGGTAAAACGATCGGTGTCGGTTCTTCAAACTGGGGGCCAGCCAATTATCACTTCATATTTCTGATCTTGTGGGCTATGTCAGTTCGTCTGGTTCTACTTCAGATATATTATAACGCACAGAACTTATAGCTCGCTGAGCAAACTTGAACTTCGTCGTATGTCCTACAATGAAGGATCACATCTCACGTCCATACGTTATCACTGGCAACACGCAGTTTGTACACTATTTTCACGTTTAGAGGTAAATAAAACATTCAATTTTCAAATGTGGTAGAGTTGTAGCAGGAATAAGTTGAATCGACCGGGATAGCATCACGAACTAACTAATAAAAAACTAGCGTAAAACAGTAGCTTAATGCTGTTGTGTTTCGTGTGGTTACTGTTGAAAAGTGGAGCCACTTTTCTACACTCACCACCATAAGAAATTTATTAATTATAAAAGTTGCTAATTTGAACAATTCCCTTCCTAAAATTTACCATGCTTGGTTTTAATAAGAACGGGCAGTGGAAGTAGTTTATGTTACGAGGTGCATAAAGTGAGCTGGTATGTGGAGCACTCTATTGCAATTTTAACTTTACTGTGCTTTTATGTCTAACACTATATGAGCCAGTAGCTCGATATTGTTGCATATTGTGCTGTATTTTAAGACGTAATATACTTGCATTTGGTTAAATTTCGAACCATTTGTTTCCGCTAATTAAATATTATTTATCCAATGTAGGATTTTTTTTATTTTTTTTAGCTGTACCGACGTTACCGACGTTATTTAAAATGACAAAAAAAATGTATTGATTTACGGTAGACGTAAAATACCCAGAGTCGAGACGCACTACGTCAAAGGTTAACGAATCAGCATTTTGATTCGTAATCGAGGATAGACGTAGATGTCTATGGGCCACAGCAACCACTTACCACCAGGTGGACTTTGTGCTCGTTTGTCAACCTTATCATAAAATAGGGAAAACTAATTATGCATAGAGATGCACTATTTTTTTATAGAATAACGGTGACAAATGAGCACATAGTCCACCAGATGATAAGTGGGTAATCTAGCCCATAGACATTTACATTTAATAATCAAAATGCAAATGCATATGTCACCCCTGAGACTAAGATGAAATGCCTCGTTTCACTAATATAGAATACCAGAACATGAAGCTGCTATTTCACGTTGCTATTCTATGAGGGCGTGGTACTACCCCTGTCGAGCCGACACATTCATGCTACAAACATATAGTTACAGCGTGGCTCAACCGAATGTAAAATTTTATATTAGTTTGTTTTATAAACTCTATATTGACAATATGGCTTTTTCTAATGTTTTAAGTCAAAGCAAATTAAATAGAAACATTAATTAGAATAAGGTCTAACAGTCTCAACGGAAACTAGCCCTCTACGCAGGACAGGATTAAAGGGCTCGCGTGTGTAAGAAAGCCCAGTTGCACTGTATATATTACTACTTACTATATATAATAGTCCGATGAGATGACAATCCGACACGACCGGGGAGAGATCAAGCATAGGACCAACGGTTTTACGTGCTCTTCGATGCACAGGCGTGAAACAACTAAAACTTTCTAAATCTGGGATGCTACTCAGAATTTATTGATAGAAAAAAAAAACAATAACTGATTTTGGTCCGCCCCAAACTGGGAGCTACATGCTCAGCAGTCACGTTTAAAACAACGAAACCAATGAGGCAGTCACTGACTGCAAGTTAAAGTAGCAAGCGGACCAAGCGAACCATAATGTTAGTACTCAGGGATGACAACGAATCTGCATTTTGATTCTTAATCGAAGACAGATGTCAACCCCGGATCTACGATTTTTTTGGGACCGGGACAAAAACTTGACAGTGGCGCCTCCTCTCTCCAGCATTTGAGATAACTTGGTAAAAAAACTTGCACTCCTTATTACCTATTAGGTAAAAACTTTTTCATATAATAATAATAATAATAATAAGCATTTATTCATTACCACCAATAAAGTTAAAATGAGTACATACAGGAATGACAAGAATTACATAATGTAGCAATGAATGGGCTCTGGCTCAGCATAAATGTTGCAGTTGCCTACAACGCTGTTATTCTGCCAGCGCCCAACATATGAACAGTACAGTACGCGCGCATCCCTTTAATCACAACTATTCACATTAGGGTACATACCGTGGATCCCCGACTATTAGCCAGCTCAAATTAATAATCAAATATATATATTTTTATTACCATTTTTTTTAAATAAATAAATAATTATTACAACAATATAACTAATAATAAATAATATAAATTATAAAATAATATTGATATTAACAAGCCTAACTTCTTTAACCTCATATAAGTTGTTTCCCCACCTACTACATAGCAATGTTTATTATTTGTTTTAAGTATTTACAGGGCGGTCCTGCAATTAGGTAAAAATAAGCCGCTTATGACAGTATTTGTTCTCTTAGTAAGTGACGTCTATATTTCTTTTTAAAACTCGATTTACTTTTCGTAGTGCGTAGTGGTGGTGGGAGATCATTCCAACACTTAGTTGCCATAAACTTAAAACTGCCTCGGAAAGCCGATGTTTTGTGTTTAGGGACGCAAAAAACCTTTGAGCATATTCGGGTTTTATATACATGTTGGTCATTTCTCCAATTAAGTTTTTTGTATAAATATTCTGGATTCTTTGTATTTATTATGCCGAATAGCAAAGAAGCATAAAAAAGTTTGAGACGCCCCTGCATTTTTAATATATTCGAGGCATTAAGATATGATGTAACATGAGTTCGTCTCGGTATGTAAAAACAATAGCGAGCACAAGCATTCTGTACCCTCTGGATTAATTTTTGTGATTTTTTAAGCAAACAAGGTCCATAAACACTTACACAATAATTTAATTTAGCTAAAACTAGGGTTTCACAAAGCTTTACACGTAAATTAACTGTGATAAATGGTCTAAATCTATATAGAACTTTTAACCTGTAAAAGCAGTTTTGTACCAAATTAATCACATGATTTTCAAACCTCAAATTGCTGTCAAAAAGAATGCCTAAATTTCGTGCTTCATGAACTTGTGCAATTTTCTCTCCATTAACATGTATATCAGGTTCAGTTATAGCTATATCATGTACCTGCTTTTTAGTGCCAATTATATGGAATTTTGACTTTGAAGGATTAAGAACCATGGAGTTATTTTGTGACCAATCGCAAACACGTTGAATATCCTGATTTAACTTATTTACTAATGTGTTAATATTTTTTCGATCTATGGGAATATATACCTGTAAATCATCAGCGTATAGATGGTATTTACAGTTTTTGAGAAAGTTTATTATATCAGCACTGTAAATAATAAAAAGCAAAGGCCCTAACACAGATCCTTGAGGAACACCTCTATCGACAGGAAGAAGCTTAGAAATAAAGTTTTTACCATTATGCCTGTCTAAAATTACTTGTTGATGTCGGTCAGATGAATAACTTTTAAACCACTTGAGTGTTTCATTATCAAAACCATAATAATATGAAAGCTTAGAAATCAGTAAGTTTGTGTTAATTGAGTCAAAGGCCCTTGAAAAATCTAATAAAGTGAGAATAGTACCTTCTCCAGAATCCGAAAAAGATAATATATCATCCACGACATTAATAAGAGCTGTTGCTGTTCCGTAATTTTTTCTAAAACCTGATTGAAGGTTGGGTATTAATTGATTTTTTTCACAGAAATTTATTACTTGTGAGTAAACAACTTTCTCAAGTATTTTTGATAAGTAAGGCAGTATACTAATGGGTCTTAGCTCACCTACATTTGTTGGGTTACTTTTTTTAGGTATTGGACGAATAAGTGCAGTTTTCCAAGAAGAAGGAAAAACAGATTCTGTTATGGATTTATTAATAATTGCAGTGATAACATTTAAAGTTCTCGGAAGCGTTAGAATTATCATATCCATATTAATGCGGTTGAGCATTTGACTTAATACCCATTATAATTTTTGCAACCACATTTTCATGAACTGGTATTAACCTAAAAGTATTAGAGATACAGTTTCTGCTTTCCAGATTCCTTACATTAAATGATTTGACGATATTATTTATTTCCGGTATACTCAAAAAGTGACGATTAATTTCGTCAGGATCACTAAAGTGTTCTGGTAAGTCATTCGAATTTTTAAATGACGGTAACGCGAATGACTTCAAATTTTTCCATAGAAAATTTGTATTAAAATATTTGTATGAACATATGTGTGTCGTAAAATTATATATCAGTAAGTTTGTGTTAATTGAGTCAAAGGCCCTTGAAAAATCTAATAAAGTGAGAATAGTACCTTCTCCAGAATCCGAAAAAGATAATATATCATCCACGACATTAATAAGAGCTGTTGCTGTTCCGTAATTTTTTCTAAAACCTGATTGAAGGTTGGGTATTAATTGATTTTTTTCACAGAAATTTATTACTTGTGAGTAAACAACTTATTATTATTAAAAGAATTATTATTATTATTATTATTATATAGAAAACATATAACCAGGAAAGACAACAGACAATCAATACATTTAGGATCTTTAGGTCTCGGCATTTTGTTCTCTATAATTTTGCTACAGCTTCACACAGCGTGATTTCTTCCAGGTATCAATTACACCGGTGTTATTTTTGCGATAGTAATCAGACAATGACAATTTCCAATTTCCTTTAATCTCAAATGTATGTATGTCTCTTCCGAAAGTATCTATTTGCTCATCAAAGCCTGTCTCAAAGGCAGTTTTGTTTTCAATGGCTAGAATCGTGAGGTCAGATAGATGTTATTGACTCATTATTGAAATAATATAGGTGTTACGGCCCCCAGCTGCCCCTGGAAAGGTCACCTTGGCTAGGGCCCATAGTAGCCTCCTCGACGGGCAGCCGAGGGTTCGGGCCCAAATGGCCATATGGACAATTGACCTATCATACTACACAATATGGAGAAGGCTAGGTAAATAAATAGTACGTACCTGAAAGCTAAGACCGCACCAAGGCTCGGTCAGGCCGTAGGTAGGTGTATAGTGCATGTAAAGTGGTGTGTTGGTAGTATTTATTTATGTGACCTGGCCCAGCTGAGGTGACCGGGCAGCGGCCTGGTCCCATCCTGCCCCAAAATGCTGCATCACTCCAGCAGGCGTCACCAAGGGACAACTTCTTTCTTCATGTCACTATTTCAGTCTATCGACTTTATTGTACATTTACCTAACTTCAACTCAACTAATTCAACGTTCATCGTAAAATCAAAAACTTGATACCCGACACAAGTAACGAACAGTAGTTTAAAATTCAATATTCAAGGTTCCGGATTCATTTATCACAAAATTGCAAATAGGGAACTAACGCGATCTCTTCACGAGTCACAAAGTTCAGCGTTACAAACAACACTAAATTCCTTCGTTCGATATTAAATACTACGCGGCAATAAGAATTCAAAATTAACCTAGCTGACAGGGAAACGAACTACAGAGTCAACACACAAAAGGCACTTAACGCGACGGTACAATTAAACAATGACCTCCCAAAAACAATCAACCGGTACTCGGCGCGCGCGCAAGATTCCTCGCACTACAAGCAAGTTAAATATTGCAAAATGCACTTCAACACGCAATCACTATATAATTGGCGCAATTACTTTCAAACGAAACTACTTTTATCAGTCAAATTCCATACAAGCCTCTTGTCATGACCGTACAACTTAGACAAACTAAACCGAGGCGGTCTTCACGAAATCACAATTCGGTACCGAAATAACGCGCACAAATACTAAATCTAGACCATAACCCAAAAAACTGGTCGCGCGGAATATATGCAGCGGTCTCCAAAGTACACGAATTGCCCGCACCGCTGCTCTCCAACTACTGCTTTCGCCCACGAACGCCAAAACGCTGGGAAGCTGCACACCGATGCCCCCTCCCAGCGGCGCGCGTGACACTTAACACCATCGGGCGATTCACTAAGTCGAAGGTGATTGGATGTCGTCTCAAATGACCATTTTTGGCCAAAACAATAGGTTTTAATTATTTTCAGTTTGCTGAAGGTTCGCTCACAGCTAGCAGAATATCGTAGGTAATGTACAGTATATTCTTAAATAATTTATTAATTTTATGATGAACTAAGGATAACAAATTACTTTTAAAAAAATTAAGGGAACGCTTTCACAAATTTATTAAGTAGCTTAATGCTGCTGTGTTTCTTATAGTGAGTGTAGTTGTCTTTGAGCCACAGCTTCCACTTATCATCAGGAGGACTTATGTCACCCATTCTAGTAAGAAATTAAGTATCTGCAGTGCCACACAGGGCTAGCCGATCCTATGCAGCCTCTTCACAGAACATAACAAGGCCAAATTCTACCCTTATTCATCCTCAGACAAAGCGCGCCAGAACACACTGCGCGCTTTTTAAACACGTTTTCACGAAGTTAAAGGCCTTGGTCACGAGGTCGTGGAAATAGCCTAGTTGTGACACTGCAGGTAATGATTTCTAATTCTGAACAACTATTTGCGTGGCATAATAATTGTCCTGTAACTCTGAAGACTTGACCATTAACAAAATTTAAATATGTAAAATGCCTCCAGTGTATAATAAAATTGTTCAGAGTGAATTTTTCCATATTCGCCTCATTCAACATCGTTTTGGATGATGATTTTTGTCTTATACAGCCACCACACTGATTTTTTTTTATTTTAAATTAAAATGTAGATATATTGCCTCATATGGGGAAATTTATAATAGTTGTTTTTTTTTGTTTTTTTTTTAAACGTTACCCCCCACTAGGATTTTCTCCTGTGTCGTGGAGGCAGTTTACAAACATAAATTGCACAAGGACAAACATCCAGACCCGGAACAATTATTTGTAGGCCATACAAATACTTGTTCCGTGCGGGATTCGAACCCGCGGCCCCCAGCGCAAAAACTGATTGCTAAGCCACTGCGCCACGGAGCCGTCTAAAGTTGTTTCGCTCCACAGGCGAGACGGCAACTGCAGTTTTTTTATGATTCCGTAACCAAATGGTAAAAAACGGAATCCTTATGAATTCGTCATGTCTGTCTGTCTGTCTGTCCGTCCATATGTCACAGCCACTTTTTTCCGAAACTGTAAGAACTTTGCTGTTGAAACATGGTAATTATATTATGTATTCTGTGAGCTGCATTAAGATTTTCACACAAAAATAAAAAAAATAAAAAAAAATTGGGGGCTCCCCATACTTAGAACTGAAACTCAAAAATTTTTTTCATCAAACCCATACGTGTGGGGTATCTATGGATAGGTCTTCAAAAATGATATTGAGGCTTTCAATATAATTTTTTTCTAAACTGAATAGTTTGTGCGAGAGACACTTCCAAAGTGGTAAAATTTGTGTCCCCACCCTGTAACTTCTAAAATAAGAGAATTATAAAACTAAAAAAATATATGATGTACATTACCATGTATACTTCCACCGAAAATTAGTTTGAACGAGATCTAGTAAGTGATTTTTCAATACGTCATAAATCGTAAACCGCAATTAACCTTTCATTCAATCAACTCAAATATAAAAATAAAAAAGCAGTTAATTTCATAAACATAAACCTTCTGCATAAAGCGTGAACCATTATTGTCTAATAATAAATCTGTAAAAGGTGAATAAGTAAATAATAATTATAATTCGTGCGGGGCGTGGCTTGGTCGGTAGCGGGTGAGAAGCGCGCGGCGTGGAAATTCCTGACTGCGCTTCCCCGAGCGGGGCAAACACGTGAAGGCAGACGTTGTTGACACTCGTGCGCGCGTAGCTAATTTTTCTATATATTTTCCAATTGCTAAGTATTGTTCGTTTACAATTCGATACTGTTTTCTTTGGATAAAATTAATTTCAACTACTTACATCGATCAAAGTTACAAAGAAATACAAGAACTTTTATATTATGTTACTTGCTGCTACTGAACCCTTCATGGGCAAGTCTGATTCGCACTCGGCCGGTTATTATAAATTTTAGTTGTTATTAGCAAGATGCTATTGCCAGTTCTCATCTTATTAATATAATCATAGTGTCTCTTAGGCCCGTATGTCGTAAACGTTGATCAAGGACGAGTTCAAGTGCGTAATCATTTGATACATTACGATATTACGATATCAGCATCTCAAGATCGTTTCTTATTAATAAACACATAAAAAAAGTATCTCAGTTACCAAGATTAGCTCCTAAAGACGGTGTACTTAGGAATACTGTTCACTGAACAACTCATGACGCTTTGGTTTTGCTATTAATTTATTGAATACCTTTTATTTTGATAAAACTTAAATAAATAGAGCTGTATCACGTCATAAAGTTGTTATCTACTTACGAAGGCCTTAAATTGTTAAAACTGTTGTGTATGTATTTCTAAATACGAACTTAATATTTACTACCTAATTCGATATATACAAATAACCTAACTGTAAAGGGTGCACTGGCGCGATAAAATGGTAGGAAACTCGAAAACCAAAAATTCGTTAAAACCGTTTATTTTAAATTACACAACGTAGGTACACGAACAAAGCATATGAGAGAGAGCGAAGGTACGTGTGTCGCGAGCGATAGTAAAGGCTGACTGACTGCGTCACCGTTCGATTTCTACCTTAAAATTTAATATAATATTTAAAACATATGAGATGATTGGGCCGTCATACCCGCCACCTTAAGCTAATACAAATTTGTATAACGATTTTTGAGCACGTCGCTAACACACCCCACCCAGTGCTGGCTCAGCACTACTCAGACAAAGGAATTCTAGCGACGCGCGCCGCTGAACGTCTCAGCGTCCCTGATTTGGTTCTGATTTCAACCAACCTGACCCGGCCGTCCTTGCCTGGAAACACCTGTTCCACGATCGCCCTCTGCCACACGTTGCGTGGCGCTCCAGGGTCCGCGACCAGCACGAGATCACCTACCTTTAGCGGTTCGCGCTCCTCATTCCACTTCCTTCTAGGTATCAGCTCCGGTAGGTACTCTGTTACCCATCTGCGTCAATACATATCAGCTAAGCGTTGACTCTTTCGCCACTGTGTTCGTAGGTACAGGTCAGAGTCATCAAAGACACCTGCAGCAGGTAAGTCGGAGCTCTTACCCAGCAGAAAATGGTTTGGCGTCAACGACTCGTCGCTACCAGGTTCTACAGACACGTGAGTAAGGGGGCGGCTGTTGACTATATTCTCGACTTCAGTCATAAAGGTGGCGAGAACTTCATCTTTGGGGACACGCTCTTTGAGTATAGCCCCTAGAGATACCTTAACGCTACGTATTAAACGCTCCCACGCCCCCCCCCCCCCAATGGGGGCTCGCCGGTGGGATAAAAGACCATTGCGTCCCATTGTTAGCAGCCTCGTTCTTCAGGGTCTCATCGTCAAGTTCCTGGATCGACTTCAGTAGCTCCGCATCAGCGCCACGTAGGTTGATTCCGTTATCGGAGTAAAAGCAGCGTGGCCACCCTCGGCGGGCAGCCATACGCCGGAGGGCCCTAATTAGTGAGTCAGTAGTGAGGGAATGCACGATCTCCAGGTGTATAGCCCGAACTGTAAGGCATGTAAATATGACACCGTACCGTTTTTCCCTTCTCCTCCCTACCACCACCTCCATCGGTCCAAATAGGTCCACACCGCAGTGTGTGAAAGCTCGCTGGTGATGCGCCACTCTAGCGGGAGGTAAATCGCCCATCACTGGCATTTCCGGTTTCGCCTTCCTTATTCTGCAGATCATACATCCGGCAGCTACATGTTTAACAGTGGGTCTCATTTTAATGATCCAGTACCTTTGCTTTAGGTTATTTACCACTGTCTCCTGGTTTCCGTGAGCAGCTTTTATGTGGAAATGTCTTGCCAACAATCGCGTCACTCGATGTCGCCCGTCGAGGATACTCGGGTTTTTGTTTCGGAAGAGACATCAAGTGCCGCACCAATGCGTCCGCCGCAACGAAGTCCGCCGTGCTCGTCCAAATAAGGTGACAAGTTGAGAATACGACTGTTGCGGGGCAAACATTTACCTTCTCTAATTGCGCTCACTTCCGTGCCGAAGGCCTCGCTCTGTACCCGCCGGAACAGCAAACGTTTAGCCTGTTCCATTAATTCGCAATCGTCATCGGTACGTTTCCTGCACTTACATATAAATCTAAGAACAGCGACTGTACTTTTGAGCAACCGCAGCCACGAAGAAAACCGTTCCGGATCGGGAGTAGGCTCGACACTAGGGATGTCCGTAGTAACCACATTTGTTACCAGGTTAACACATTCAGTTGTCTCGACATCAGTGACAGGACGAATGACGTGACGCGGCCACGATGACTCATCATCACGCAGAAACGTAGGGCCCCCCAACCATACACTCTTAAAAGTGGCGTCGTCGTAGGTTTCGCGTGTAGCTATATCCGCAACATTTAATTCAGTAGGCACGTATCGCCATTCTTTACTACTAGTGACCTCATCAATCTCGCCCAACCGGTTTGCTACAAATGTTTTATAATTTCTCGCGTCATTATTAATCCAGTGCAAAACCGTGGTCGAGTCACTCCAAAAGAATCGCTGTAACACGCTCAACTTATGCTTCTTAACAATGGTATCGGCGAGTCTCGCCGCTAAAAGCGCTGCTTACAACTCTAGTCGCGGCACAGTCAGTGGTTTTACCGGCGCAACTCGACATTTAGTTGCTATAAATGCAACAAACACATTACCATTGCACGTCCACCGCCAATAAGCTACAGCGCACATCGCTTTAGTAGATGCATCGCAAAAAACATGCAGCTGTGTGTTATTGTACTTCGTAGCACTCGTAGCTCGCGCGGTTTCGTAGCTCCCGGTCAGTCGCGTAGAGGCCGTAGCGGGCTGCGCGGGCGTAGGCGGGCCGCGGGGCGCGGGGGAGCACTGACCTGCTACTATATCAGCTGTGTCCGTTGCCATGCGATCACCTGTCTCGCTCGCACCTAGAGGGCTTAGGTAGCACCTAGGAATGCGTACATTACTCATTTCCTTTAGCAAATCGATCCAGGTTTTCCATTTATTAAAAATGCTATTGGGAATCTCGTCGTCCCAGCCAATGTTTTATCGCCAAAGATTTTGAAGCATTATTTTTCCTTGTATTGTGAACGGCGACAAGAAAGCAAAAATATCGTAAATAGACATAATTACTCGCAGCATAACCCTTTTAGTAGGCACTTGTGCTCCGTTCACTACGTACTCTGGAATGCGCTTGAAGGATAAATCAAACCCCAGCTCGTCTTTAGCGGGATACCAAATAAGACCGAGCGTTCGTTCTCCTTCACACTGCTGACCCATTTTGAGACTTACCGCCACTGTACCTAAGGTGTCTTTTGGTATGCTGTCCAACACTACTACACTGTTACTATTCCAATTGCATATTTCGAAGCCGCCCTCTTTGTGAATGTAAACAATATCTTTTACCATCTGCGTCGCGGTGGCTTCGTCCGGGAAACTGTCCAGATAGTCATCCATGTAGTGCTGGTTGCAGATAGCGTCGGCAGCAGCGGGCAGCGACGAAACGAAACGTTCCGCGTTCCTGTTTTTCACGTACTGTGCTATAAATGGGGAACAATTAGCACCGAATATGAGCGAAGTCATATTAAAAGTTTTGACCGATTGTTCGGGGCGAGGTCTCCACAAAAATCTAAGGGAATTTTGATCCTCGTCCCTTATTTTAATTCTCAGGAACATATCTTTAATGTCCCCGGCTACAGCGACCCTATTCTCTCTAAAACGTACCATAATGCCGAATAGGGACGCGAGTAAGTCGGGACCTTGCAATAGGTAATCATTTAAACATTTTCCGTGACTTTTCGCTGCTGCATCGAAAACGATACGCAACTTTTTTTTATTAGGATTATCGACCCCAAAGTGTGGTAAATACCACGTTCGCGGTGTGCGCCGAATATCAGTCGACTCTTTAGCGAAATCATTAAGTAAAAGGTGATCCACTCGTTCAGAGTAACGTTTGGCGTAGTCAGGGTTCGCCACCATCTTTTTTTCTACTCCTTTGAACCTGTTGCAAGCGTTAGCGTAGCTATCGGGCAACGCGCAGCCTTCATCGCGCCACGGAAGCCCGACGTGCCAGCGGCCCGCCACGAGCGTTGCCGAGCGCTCCACCTGAGCGCGCGCGCGCACGTCTTCGCTGTTCTCACGGGGTTTGCTACACACACCTAGGGAATCGAGCATGAATGAGCGCCTTACCTCGTCATGAAGTTCGCGAAGCAAGTCCTCGGCATCACCGGCGGCGGGCGCGGCGGGCCCCGCGCTGCAGCACAGCAAAGGGCTCGGGTGCGAGGCGCGGGTGCCGTGTGGCGGTGCGCGCGCTATTCCATGTAAGGACCAGCCTAGGGTGGTGCGAGTAGCGGACGGCTCATTACGTTTACCGATACACATTTCAATAGGAGCTAACAAATGATGATTATCCTGGCCGATTAGTACTTCAGGTTTAATATTATTATTACAAAATATTAAATCATGTTTCAAATTTTTCAAATGAGCATACTGACTACAATCGATTGAATAAAGATTTTGCTCAGGCAATTTTAAATTGTTTACACTTCGTGCATTAATGGTAGACATATTACAATTATTTTTATCAGACACATTTATAGACAAAACAGTAGAATCAACAATAACATCGGTACCGCTCCACGCTCCGCTCACGCGCATAGTCTCAGTGCGGCCGCGCAGGCCGGCCCGCGCAGCGAGGGAACCGGTTATCAATGTTATTGTTGATCCGTCGTCGAGCAATGCAGTCGTGCTGATTACACCATTAGGTCCGTGTATGTTTATAGGTACTACTTTCAATAACACGTTGTATGCAGAGTTAATGTGTGTCACGGTAGCAGCTGCGGCTCCGGAAGTGTGGCCGCTGTGGGCCGCGTCGCCGGTGTCGCCGGTGTCGCCCGCGCCGGGCGGGGCGGGACGCGGCTCCCGGTCGGCGTCGCGCGGCTCCCGGCCGGCGTCGCGCACGTAGTGCAGCAGCCGGTGCTGTGCCTCGCCGCAGCCGTCCTTGTCGCAGACGGCCGCGGGACACGTTTCTCGATCGTGGCGCGACACTAAGCACTTGTAACATACGCCGTGGCGTTTAACGTGACGCCACCTGTCTTTGCGCAACGCTTTTTTAAACATTTTGCACTCAGTTAATTTATGTTTTGCGACGTTGCAAAATAAACACTTAATGTCACTGTGCGTTGACTGCACTAATACTGCATGAGGACGACTGGTGATGTTGCTGTCAGGTTTACTCTTGTAGTGCTGCTGAAATCCGACGCTGCGAGCCTCTGTGGCGTGTATGTTCGCTGTAGTCGAAATTTTCACAGCTTCTTGATTTAAAAAATCGCCTAATATATTCAAACGTGATTTCTTTCCTTCCTTTATTATAGCAAAACTAAAATCGGACCATTTCGATATTAGTACGGTAGGCATCTTGGATAAAATAATATTTGAAATATGCATTCCTTGCATGTACTCTTCTCGGCCGACGGCGTGCACAGCTGCGATGAAATTTTGAACTTTAACTGAGAACGACACAATGTCTTTGTTGTATTCGTTCGACATAGGTGGTAGTTTCTTCAGGCCCTGGGTAATTTTGCTTAGAATGGTGTCTGCGTTACCGTATAGTAGCTCTAAAGTTTTTATCACTACGTCGGGTAATGTAGCGCTTATCATGAGAGCTGAGACTGCTTCCTTAGCTGGCCCGTGAAGACACTTCCTTAAGCGCCATAAATTTTCCTTCGGGCTAAACCCGCACACTTCGGTAGACTCGTCATAAGCCTGCTTGAACTGGAGCCATTCCAGCGAATCCCCTGAGTAACTAGGTAGGTCCCGGGGGGTACACATGCAACTAAGCAGGTTGTTGTTTGTCCCATTATTTGCAGAGATCGAGAATAGATTCTGTAGTGCGCTCGCGAGCATATGAACCGTTCCGTCACATGGGCCGGCAACGGGTGCCGCCGGCGGACACTGCTTGCCCGGCTGATCACCGAACTCTGGAGCGTGCAACGGGGGTTCGTGCTCGAGCTGCCTTTGTTCAAACCATTGCTCCACTTTCTTATTCTTGGTGTCGTCGTGCGGGTCACTATGTGGACTGTATATTTCCTCTTTTTCATCCATAAGGTCTGCTATATCCACCTGAAACTGCTTATCGATGAGATCCATTTGAATTTTAGCCTTTTCTTTAGCCATCTCTAGTTCCAGTTTCTTTCTCCTGGCCATCAGAGAGGACGAGGTGGACGTTGACTTAGCCCCGGTGCGCGAAGCAGGCGGCTGTTGCAAGCGGTACTCGCGCTTGACGCTGCTACCCGCAACATCATATAGTTGGCTGTTTCTGTTTATCCTTCTGTGTATTTCCATCAGTTGGCTGAGGCTGCACTTGTAACTGGACTTCCTGATTTTCGTCCTCTTTGCTCTCGAGCTCCTTGCGTGTAGTGCTTCGAGTTTTTACCATTTTTGCAGGCGGCGTGCTGAACATTAGATCCGGTTCGAAGACCACTTTGTAAAGGGTGAAGGTGAAGGAAAAAGCAAGAAATGATAGATAAGAATGATAGAAGAATATCCGATAACTTCCAGGCAAATATTACAATGTTCTGGAAGCTCGTAAGAACTGCCAGGGGAAATTCAAGACAGCCTAGAATGAATGCTATTCGCGACGATAATCGCTGCATGCTGAATGATGAAGTTTCGAATTTAAAGAGATAGAAGGAATACTATGAAAGCGCATTTAAGATTGAAGAGTCGTCTGAAGTAAGTGAAATAGAA